GTTTTGAACTCCTGACCTTGAGCAATCCGCCCGCCTCGGCCTCCCAAGAGCTAGGATTACAGGCGTGAGCCACAGCGCCCGGCCAATTTTAAAGCATTTTAATTCTCTGTGGTTTCCCAGGGCTCGGATATCTGCAAACGATGACAAATTTATCCTCCTTTCCAAAGATTATAGCTCTTATTTGTGTTAACTGTTTTATTGCACTGATGAGAACTTCCAGAACTATGTTAGATAATAAAGGACATGGCAGGCTTATGGACATTCTGACTTTGTTTCTGACTTCATGGGAATGTGTCTAAGACCTTACAATTAAATATCCCTTTTTTGCAGGATGTGTTTTGCACGAGTAACCCTGCTCTGCCCTCAGAACTTTAATGGTCCATTTAACAACCCTGCAGTGGTCCCTTTTTTGCAGTGATGTGTTTTGCCGAGTAACCCTGCTCTGCCCTCAGAACTTTAAATGGTCCATTTAAGAGGCCCGCCGTCCATCAACCTTTGAATTTGCTTATAATGACTGCGTTTCTTATGAGCAAAAGGTGGCAGATAGAATCCCGGTAAACGTCAACCAGCGCCACAATCTGTTATTTCAAGAAAGATCTTCCAAAACTCAATCCAATAAAATCCAATATCCATTCCCCAGGTATAACAAAAACCAATCAGGAATACAAGGACGCTTTCTTAACTTGATTAAGAACACTTATCTCAAACCAGCAGATTACATGATATTTAATTGTAAGGTCTTAGACACATTCCCATGAAGTCAGAAACAAAGTCAGAATGTCCATAAGCCTGCCATGTCCTTTATATCTAACATAGTTCGGAAGTTCTCATCCGTGCAATAAAACAGTTAACACAAATAAGAGCTATAATCTTTGGAAAGGGGATAATTTGTCTCGTTTGCAGATATCCTAGCCTGGGAAACCACAGAGAATGAAAATGCTTAAAATCAATAACACGCAATATCCAATGTCTACAGAAATATATATTTTTTCAACAGCTAATTAAGACATAAAGAAAACATATGTGTTCACAATACTAAACAAACATGCCGCCAAAGTTGAAACTTCGGCCTGTGCCTAGCCTAAATTCAACCTGGCTTCAGGTCTTAGGGACCCGAGATTAGTAACTGCTCCACCTGCTGCTGGAGGGCCTGCAGGCTCCAGCGCTGGGAGCGATGGGCGACTTCCCTCTTTGTTCCTCCTACCCATCTACAGGGATGGTTCTGGTTTGGGTCTGGGCTGGAAAATTTTGTTGGTCTTGTTGTCTTCACCATTTAGCTTCTGTTGTTGCCTCTCCTTAGAAGATTTGCATAATGGCAACAAGAGATCTACTGATTAGAGAGGAGAATGAATGAGATAAACACCAACAATAAACAACAACATTGTCCTTGGCATAAAAAATGAAACTCACTTCTATTGATGTCCTTCAAAAAGGAAAAAAAAGAAAAAAGGCCAGATGTGGTGGCTCACGCCTGTAATCCTAGCACTTTGGGAACGCAGAGGAGTGCGGATGGATCGCTTGAGGTCAGGAGTTTGACGAATAGCTGCGACCTAGAGCAAAAGATGGGAAGATGCCCCTTGTCTCTCAAGAAAAACTGAAAATAAATAACTCATAACTGATCCAGCTACATGAAAGAACTAGACAAATCTAACAACAGTTAGTATACAAGAAAATCACCTTGTAGCCAGAATAATACATCGGGGAGGCTGAGGACAGAATGTTCATCAAAGAAAGGATCGACTTGAGCCAGGAAGTCCTCATAATCAAACTTGCCCTGTGAGACTAATGACTGGATACTCAGACAACATTACAGAGAAGCACATCATAGTCTATAGTACGTGACAGTCGGGGCTTCAAAGACTCACTTCCAAAAAATGAAAAACAGATGTCTCAAAATACTACTCAAAAAAATATAAAAATTTAAAACATGAATAAAAGGAAAAAAAATAAGAGTATGGCTGAACAGGTTCAGACAAGTTACGAGTGCACCAAGACGAGACTGCAGGACATGCAGACAGTTCCCACTCCCGGAGACGCGGACAACTAGGGTGACACAATAGGGGTGCCTGCTTTCTACGAGACATTATGGCGACAGGCCCTGGGGTTGGAGAGATAAACAAAAAGAGAACTTGATTGATCTGCGGGTTGATCATTTGCGGTGGGGTCAAGCATCTAAGTCCTACTTGTGGGACAGGAAACACATAGAAAAGAACAAGTAAATGGAATTCACACACAGACAGAAATGAAGGAGCAAAGCCTTATCAACGTTTAGATCTGGGAAACTAAAATGTTTAGAATCAGATGGACTTAATCAGAGAAACATCAAGAATGAGGTGTATTTGTGAGCTAGTGCAGGAAGAAGGCGTAGAAAATCCACTGATGAAAAAAAGGCAGATTGAAGAACAGGGACTAGGCCTGGCAAGTGCTCGTTGTCTCTGCCTTCACATCCTCTAATCCTATGCACTCTGGAGGGCTGAAGGCACGAGGAGTCTTAGAGTCAGTGATGTCGAGACCATGCTGATGCAAGAGCAAAACCCCGTTTTACAAAATATAGAAAAATACCGCGGTGTTGTGGCACACATCTATAGTCCCAGCTACTCGGCCGGATGCTTGACAGGAGGACTCATTAGCCAGGAGT